GTGCGCATGCGCGACCTGCCCCCGGCAGGGACCCCCCCCAGCTCCATAGCCCGGCTGCTCAGCTTTTGGGGTGACCCCAGCCCTGGTTTGGGGTCTCGCCTGAAAAACACCAAGGAAGAGCCCAAGCACTGTTTAAAATCATGTGCAAAAACTTGTTTCTTATTGCCCAAATAGATTTTTTCACCCACAGATAGCTGAAATGTTTTCTTCACACTGCTCCAGCTACAGTAGTATTTAATTTAGCTGAACTGGTGGCATGTGCTATAGTCAAATTCTTAAATAATTTAATAAACTTACATTGAGGCTATAAAAGGACAGTTCTAAAAGCAACTAGCCAATAAACATACAGAGCAAGTTAATGACCAAACCCTGTCTTCCTACATACAAACTTCACATACACCATCACATCACTGCACAGCTGCCATTGCCACTTTAGGATTTTTATATCAGCACTCTAAGTCAGAGGCTAGCACATGCAATGTGATTTAACATCAGTAAAGTACAATGTTTGCAGTGCCTCTTTAAAAAAATGTAACCTAGAATTGTCATCATCATTCTTAAAACGGAATTGCACTTCAAACTATGTACATTTAATCACATTTTGGTCTGACAGCACCTTGAGCTCTTGAGCAACCCTCTAAGAGCCTACCCGTAAACTGGAAAAAACCTAACAACATTCTGTGATGCATCAATCTCAAAAAAATGACATTTTCACAGCTACTCAAGAAAAGTCACAGGAGATACATGGAAAGATGATTTACTTTCACAAGTAGATGTGGATGCAACTCATTAACCAAACAGGAAACTTTTTCTATTTCTTAAAACCATTATATCTCTAGTTATTAAAATACTCACATTAAGTCCTGAGGGTCAAAATCATTTACTGCCTGCTTGGATACAACTGAAGTGTATTTCCTACAGCGCAGGGCCACGTGCTAGCCTGGGTCTGATTTCTCTCAATCTCTGCTAGGGATGAAGTTTCACATTCACTCGAGCAGGCATCAGAGCTGATGTTTCCTTCCACTTCCCAATGAGGGCTTTAATCAGCCAGCTACAGTTACTGAGTAATTTACATAAACCTTAACCACTTCAACAAACATATCAACAAGAATAACCTACAGCCATGTGTTTAAGACACCTCCTCAAAGTCAGAGGCCACATTCACATTATTGATTTACACAGACATTTGAATCAAGGTGTCTTGACATCCCAGATTGATCTGACATGCAGAAGAGTACTCGAGGACTAACCTTCAAAGAGCAGTATTTTTTTTGTTTGTTTGAGGCACTGAAGCAAATGTATGTTTCTCATTCTTCCTGGCCCAAATAATTTGCTGAGTTGAATTGCACTTCATTAGCAGATTGCAGGCTGAAACTGATTTTGTGCAGGTGAAGGAAGTTATAAAAAGCAAGTGATTTACACCACTGACAATGGAAGAAAACACAACTGAGAGCTTACTAGTGTAAGCTGGCTCAGTTTCCTAAAGTAAGATATTTTAGGTCAGAGGAACTCTGTTCACATACACCTTGCTTAGCTTCTGATCTTAAAGACCAATAACAGGTAGACACTTCAAAACGGATTTCTCATAGCTTTAGTATACCACTCCCCTCCATACAAGGACATGGAATGCTGCCTCCACAAACACTGGATTTTGAAGCAGAAGCCACCTTAGATCTTGATGAAAAGTCAGCAACACAAGGCTGCTGCAACAGCTGCACACTCTTAGTTTGCTTTATGTCCTGGAAGACAGGACACAAGATCCCCAGAGCTGCAGCAGGATAAAGTGATCTTTAATCATTAACTCCTATGGCCTTCTGGTTTCATATTAAAGTATGAGGCAAATCAGCACCTGTATCTCTCCCAAAATGTGTTGTTTTAATTAGCTTTTCTGATGAGAAACCTAATCATCTTCACTTCTACTTTTTTTGGTTTTGTATTCTTATCAGATTCTATTTCCTGCTGGCAGTTCAAAGACATCCATCTCTCCCAGAACTAAATACTTCCTTTGGACAGGTTACAAGGGCAACCATGCTAAGCTACCCAAGTTTTTATTCTCACCTTACTGCCATTATAAGGGCAAGTGGCAGTGGCTTTTTTTTTTTTTAAGAGATTTTGTAAGTTAGAAGATACTGCAATGTGGTATGAACAACTATAAGAGGAAATAAGGATATATGCAGATAGCTGGTTTTAAAATTCTACACTTCTTTCAAAAGGTTTAATAGCATTATCTTAAGTAATCCTACAAACCACAAAAGACCATCTGAAATGCAGAACAATCAAATAATATAACAACCCTCCCACCAAACTTAAACATTATACAGTTGTACTCTTGCCTTTCTCAACACAGAGGAGTCATTCCAAGTGAGCAGCTGGCTTTTGATTCTGTCAAGGCTTGGGGAAAAACTACATGCAACTAAATGAAGTGTTAACACTAAATTCACATTTTCTCTGTATTTTCATTTAAAAATTCAAGGTGGCTATCAATCTGTAACATCTCTTCTTATAAGCAACTATGTTTACTATTTAGACTACAGATATCACTGAAACATTTAATGTACAACAGCAGGGCCCCGAAAATCCCTGACAGAGACAAGCTGAAAAGCCTTCTGTTTAAATATTTTCCACACTATTTGTCTGTTGAACAAACTTTAAGTTCCTGAAGTTTTTCACTTAGATAGGTAGTATCTGCCTCTGTCAGATTTTCCGAATCTGACAGATTTTCAAGGAATCTGGTTCCCGCACACGGCTTTCCTGTTATTGGATCTATGACATTTCCAACCTTGAAAACAATTTCAGCCAGTTCATGTTTCACATGTTTGCTCCTTCGCTCAGGCAAAGCTTTCAGAAGAACAATGTCTCCAACAACACACTGCTGTAATGGATCATGGGCAAAGTAGGTTTTTCGTTTGTTAAAGAACTGTAGAAGGAAAAAAGGAAACCTTGGCATTAGATTTCAAAATTCAGCAATTGACAAATATATAGTTAATATAAACCAAACTAAAATTCACTAAGGAGGAGTTTCATGTATTTTTTAAATGAGATTCAGTTTGGATCACAAAGATAAATGCAACTATGCACTCCACTGTTTTTCCAAAGAAAGTACAGCACTATCCTTCCCTGACAATCTCTGGTCAGGATGTTGTTGCCAGCCAATCCTCTAGAAAAGGAGATGGGGAAGAAAAAGTCAAGCACACAAAACAGTTCAGAGTGAACATGTGTATGCAGGTAAAAATAACAAGCTCTTCACTTAACAGATTCCCTTTCCTAGCATCAACACTTTCCACTGGCCTCTCTGCTCTCCAGCTCTGCTGTGCTAGCCTTTCCTCTCCTTAGGATGCTTCACATCAGCACTGCTCCAGCAAGAAGGCTGCCTTGGCTCTTCCAAGCTGAGTGACTTCCCTGCACAGTCCACACTTCAAGAACTGAATCACAGAATCATAGGTTGGAAAAGACCTAAGATTATCAAGTCCAACCGTCACCCCATCCCCACCATGTCTACTAAACCATATCCCAAAGTGTCACATCCACACATTTTTTGAACACCTCCAGGGATGGTGACTCCACCACTGCCCTGGGCAGAAAAATCTCCCCTGATACAACTTCCCAATACATCTAAAGTTCATCAGCCCTGAAATCAGTATTTTGAAGTTTGCCATTTGACAGTTTTCTTGCTCAATTCATTTTCTTTCACATAAAAATTCAGTATTCATTCTTATTGGAACAGCATAATTCAGAATCTTTCTTTTAAGAAGGAAATTAACAGGTTCATCACTGGATAAAGTATTAGATTGGGATATGTAAGACCCATTATTTAATCCTGACTCTATCCTTAACCTTCTGGTCACCAAAGGCAAGTTATTCCACCTACATGTGCCACGGTTTCCCTATCTGAAAATGGAAAATTTTAGCCTCCCTGTTTGAAATGCATTGACAAGAAGTGAAAATACAAAGCTTGTATAGCACATCCCAGTACAGATTCAAATACCAAGTATGTTTGCAATTATGCATACAGAAAAACAGCTACAAAATTTATCGTAAAACTAATATAATGTCAAGTTTCCAAAATGAAGCATACTCCAAATCAAAATGAAAAATTAAATCTAAGAGAACAAATGAAGTGCATTAACAAAGCACTTCGAAGAAACACATTTAGCAGATAATCTGTATAGAAGTATCCTCACAACACACTGCTTTTCATCCTCTGCAGCCATCCCCACAGCCAAATCATTAAGAAAGTTCCTCAAGGAGTTTGCATTGTAAAGAGCTACCAAAAATTCTAGGAGTCAAATCAAGAAAACATTCCTCCACACAGTACAAACATCACCATGCAAGACAAGTTCTTAACCAGCTTTTACCTTTAGTAAGTAAGGATCTAGCACAAGCCTTGTTACTCTCACTTTGGCTGTTTTCTGCATTTTGGTTCCTATTACTTTCCCTCTGCATTTTGGTTCCTATTACTTCCCCTACTATCCATTTTGCATGGACAGCTCCACGTGGTACAGACATTGTTTAGTTATGGTCATCCACGGCCTGGCAACAAGCAAGCAGACAAGTTATTTTAACAAAAAACATAATCAATTTCTGATCAATATCAAAATTATGATTCCCATTTCAGACTAACAGCTCAATTACATCATTTTGTTGGAAAAACAGGATAGGTGTAAGCAGTTAAAAACTCCATATATTGCAATACCTCAGCCTTGTTTCACAATGTAAGAAGGGATATGAACACATCCCCATTACCAGAGAAAGTCACTTCAGGATAGCAAGAATGGAAATAATAGTGTGAGGATAAGACCTTATCCCACAAAGTTGACAAAATTATTTTGAATCATACCAATTGCCACATACACAATATAGAAATGTGCAGTTGTGGAAATTATTATGAATTTAACTCATATGCCAGCAGCTGTTTTTTCTGGAGACCTGTTAATCAGGTCTGTATATGACCTGAGTTAACCCAAACAGGGAGCAACCTATAACTTCTGGTCAGAGTCATTTGCTTCTGTGTATCTCATTATTAGCTGAGCTGATGCAACCTAGGAAAGGTAATAGACTTCTCAAAGGTTAAATGACCTATCAAAGAGCTGTCTGACCTACAGTAAGTGTAATCACTTTTGAGCTGTATCTTTCCTGGAAATAATTATACTCCCCTACCTACTTGTTTTGTTTAGTTAGGGAGAGCTTTCTATACCACTCTTGCAAGAGTCACAGGCAAAATAGATAGCTAAACATTAGAAGACTTGAGCCAGTATTAAAAACTGATGAAGGCTAATGACTTCTCTCCCACTCAGCTATGTACTATTAAGCACAACTGACACCTGTGGAATTCTCCATCTATTTTGTAAAACTAAGTGACTCTTGCCTTAATGTTGCAACACATCAAAGTTTAGGGATACAGGGACACATCCATAGGATAGAATGTTTCAGGCAGCAATACTTGTGGTTGCTTTTACCACCCTTGACTCAGCAGTGTGACCCACAGGGCTGGAGGAAGGGGTCAGTGCAAGAGCCCTCTTCCTGTAACACACAGCTAAGAACTGCACAGGGACCAGGCCAAGCAGAGGCAAATGGCTACGAAATAAGCAACACCCACAAAGCACAAGGGAGATACCAGGAAGACAGGAGACAGACAGCTAGGCTAGGCGTACCTCACACGGAAGAAGAGGTTAAAGGAGGAAGTTCAAACAGATTCGGGGCCTTCCCCTCCCCTCCCCCCCCCCAAGTCACATCCCTCTGTCTTTCCAACAGTTGCCCAACAACGCTTCTGCTCCCCAGACGGCAGATCTGTAGTCTCTTCTGGGCAGCATCCAAGCATCCCGCTCTCCTCCTCTTTGATGTTCTGCTCATATCTCACCTGAAGACCCTACCCTGTTTTTCAAACCCTGCTGGTCCTCAAAACTTCAGTCTTTGCAAACTGACCTTAGAGCAAGTTTGTTCATGCAATTACATGAATGGGTGTGTACTACAGGCCACCTGACCAGCAGGAGGAGGTTGATGAGGCCTTCTACCTGGGCCTGTGGCGATGGGGGAGCAGGAGCTGCATGTGGGCCCTGTTACCTCAGGGAGCCGCTGCCTGTGGGGAGACCTGCGCTGCCTCTGGTCTCTCTGCGCTCACGCGGTGGAATCCAGCCTGGTTTTTAATACAAATAACAGATCTGAGTGCCATGTTCACCAGCAGTGTGTTGTGCTGTGGGGCTGGGCGCGCTACGCAGCAGGCCTGGGCCTGGAGGTGCTGGAAGGAGGTGAGGAGGCAGAGGTGTGAGAGCTGAGGGGCTGTTTTGCAACTTGAATTTCAGGGGGTGAAGCTGAGTGTCAGCGCAGTCTCTTTGTGGCTGTGTGGTACTGAGGTCTGCATGGGAAGTAGGTTTGTGTTCCACCTGCTGTTAAGTTATGTAAATGAGCCAAATCTTGAAGGTGAACTATATAAATCTGGAATGATTGTATTGTGTATGAAGTGGGAGCTGGCCTGCTGTTCTTGCTTATCCATACCCTGGCAGAAATTCTGTGAATCGGTATCCAAAATGGAGGATTGAAAAACAAAACATACAAACTGCATAATGGCAAAAAACGTCTTGACTTTGCCCTTGCCTTTGAGGTAATGCGCTCCTGGCAGCTCCTGGAGCTTTTGGGCTCTGTTCTGTGACTTCAGGCTGAGGCCATCCTTTTTTTAATTTAAATGTGTTCATTTATCTCTTTCTGCTGGCAAGTATTTTGGCTGCTGCCCACTTTTCAGACTTGTTCTGTTTAGGCATTATTGTCCATTATCTCTCACCACAGGAAGAGGGCAGGTAGGGAATTGTATTTACTTAACAGGACAGCACTCTGCAGCTTCCCTTTTTAAGGTGGCTGGGCATGATGAGAGCAGGCTATTCTTTGTATGGCTGGAGACACTGTTGAAATAATTTAATCAAATACGATCAAAGGAGTTATTTGGAAGTTCATTATCAGTTGTTACAGATACCAAGTCAAGATTCATGGGCTTCTGTTATTTTAGTGCCTTGTTGCTTGAATTACAGTGGAGAGAAGTGGGGAGGAGTCTTGCTGGCACAGGCAGGAAATGGTTAAGAGCCTTTCATATCACCTGGGAAAGCAATTCTTTGATTTTTCAGAGGGCGCTAACATGCTGCAGTTCATAGGAAACAAAGGAAAGGGGATCAAGTATAAAAGTTGTTCTTGGATTTTATTTTCAGTGGCAGAACTTGTGAGGGCTGGATATTGATGTCTGCTGAAAAATACAGAGTTTTGGATTAAAGAGAATTTATTTTCTTACTTTGTTCAGAAAATGATCTGTGAGGTAAGTCTTTATTCCAAATGATGCCTTTAGATAGCTTCTTTTTAGATTGAATGGTATGAAAAGCCTTTATATTGCTGACCCATTTTAAAACAGTGAATTCTTTACGTAAATTGTTACTTGGGCAGGGAGCACAGGCAGAACTGTGAGTCAACAACTGTAAAAAGCCTGCAACGCTTTCCTGTATTGTCTACATTCAAATTGATTGCATTAATTTCTGAGCTGAAGTATAGAAATTCAGGAACTGGGAGAAACATAATGAGCCAGGGGAATTTGTGATAAATAGTTGCAGTAAATATTTCAGTGATGACAGGAGACTTTCAAATTGTGGTAGTGTCTATGTTAATGTACTTTTGCAGTTGATGCTTCAAGCATCTTCAACTGGTGGCTCTTAAAGTACTTCCCAAGCCTTATATATTTAAACCCCACTGCACTCTGAAGGGTTTGATGTTTCCAGCTTGTGTAAGGACTTTGTTAGCAGATGGTACAGTTGCTGCCCCCGTGCATGTGTTGATCCTTAAGGGCAGACTGCTTTTGTGGGTATAAGAGAGGGGTCTTACAATTTCCATTAATTCCTAGCCTGTCTGCAGCTGAGACTAAGGAGATCTCACCTTAAGAAGTGCTGCTGGATTTTGTGTGTGTGAGAACAGATGCTTTTTCACTTCAGTGTGGCTGACCAAAGCATGATTGGATGGTAATAGCTCATGCATGGTTGTCACAGAGCAAGTGCCATGTGGACGGAAGCCTTTATATCCTGTGGAGAGCCCTGCAAACCATCCCTTCACCTTGGAAATGCTGAACTGGAAGTAAATTGTATTCTCACTCTTGGGAAGGTTAATTACATATTGTTCACTGAGGTATTTCTCTGCGTAGGTCTCTAATGCACTGTATTCTGGTGGATTTATTGAGCTTTTTTGGGGGGAATGCTGATTGCCCTTTCTTTCTCTTTGTACTTTTCACTTAATACTGTGAGTGCTATATGACATGTGGGTTATTTCCAGTTTCAATAGTGTGCAGTGCAGTGGTGTAACACAACTGCCCATCTAGTGCTGTGATACAGATAAGCATCACTCCTTGCAAGAGTTGTCTTGCCAGTTCTTCTTGCTATTGCCTGCTGTTCCCAGTTTCCCTCGCACCACCAGTGCTCGGGCACTAGTTTGTCATTGTCAAGAAGGGAGAGCACTATAATCCAGTCAGAGCTGGTGGATGTTAGTTCTTTCATCTTGGACATGAACATACTAAAAGGCAGAGTCAGGACCATTCAGTTCCTGCAAATTATATTCCTCATCACTGCATTTCTGTTCCCCTCATCAAGCAAAGCTTTTATCCTCTTTCTGTTGGTTTTTGTAAGGTTCAGGAGAAGCTGTGGACATTCACAGCTTCTGAACTGTCTGTTCCCAGCTTCTGGCTGGACAGGAATCTCTTATCACCCTGCCCTATTTTGGATTAATTGTGTTATTTGGGAAGGTTATGGTATGCTCTGATCTATTGCATTTTGCTGCTTCTGAGCTTTGAGCTTAGATCCCTCTGGCAACTGCAGAAATAAATCGCTGGAGCTCAGTGACAGAAACTCTATCTTGAAACACGTTGCACATGATTCACAGTCAAATGTTGTTATTAACAGGGATCTAGGGAGTGGATTGCTTTTACGTTTAAACAAAGATTGCAAACCCAGATTGTCTTATTCGGCAAGATTTCTCTTACTTGAAAGTTATTTTTCTAGAAACTTGACTGTTAAGTGCCTTCGCTTATGTTGTCAGTGTCTGACATTTATTTAAGCTATTCAGTGTGAAAACCTTTTCTATTTCTTTACCAGTGCTATTGATTAAAATGCAGTTTACATTTCTTGGGAAAATTTGATATTCAAAAATGGCTTTTCACTGTGAGTCAGAATGTACTTTTCCATGGAATAAAAATTCTGGAAAGAAAAAAATGCTATTGGAAATATTGAACAAATTATATTGTCGTTTCAACCAGGTTATACAAGAAAAAGAGCTTCAAAGTAAAAATGAAGGACTGGGGTTTTTCTCATATTTTGAGAAAATTAGTACATTCTTCTGCAGTTGTTCAATATTATCTGTTCAGTGTTTTCCATATGAAACTCTTTGAGAATGTTCTGTACTGGCCCTAACTTCAAGTTCCTACTTAATTCAATTGGCCGTTTCAAATTACATATTAAAAATGAATTATGAAGCTCTTTTCTCCTTTGTCT